AAAAGAGAGGAAAAAAGAGGAGAAAAGTGGGGGAGGAAGGCAAGAGGCAGAGGGAGGAGGGGAAAGGAGAGAGATGAGGAGTCTAAATGAACAGAGGAGCGCGGGGGAGGGGAGGGAGCTGGGGCGGGCGAAGGCTGGGTGGAGGTTGAGCGCTGGCAGGTGGAGGAGAGCAGAGGCTCTGGGGAAAAGTCTCCAGACCGACTTCCGCACCCCTCTGCGGCAGGAAAGTTTGCTCTCTTTGGGACAGCGCTGGGTGGCGTCGGTGAATCTCACTGGCCTGTCTTTGTCCTCGGGGATCAGTCTCACCAAGACTAGCTAGATTCAGGCCCTCCAAGCTCTGCCCTTTGCAGGGCCTTGACCTCGGGGCTTCTCTGCAGCCGTCTGGCCCTAGAATAGGCCAAATAGCGCCCCCTCGAGGCCAAGGTTCGAGTCCCCTCGAAGTCTACCTGGAAACGCGCCAAGTCTGACCCCAGGTATCTGCAGACCGCGCGGGCTAAGACTCCTGGGCATCTCCTCCGAAGGCGAGGCTTGGCTGCCTCCTGCGCACCGCCCGCTGTGTCCACCGGGAGCGGGCACCCGCAGGAAGGCGCCGGGCCGAGCTGCAGCCGCCGCGCTCCGCTGGGGGTGGCGCTGGCGAGCCGCCGATCAGCCGCCCAATCTCTTCGCTCTGCCGGGACGCCTGGCTGGGCCCAGCTGTCTGACCACCCTCCCCCAAACTCCAGCTCAGGGGACCTCAAGGGGGCACCGATGGGCAGAGGAGCTCGTTGGAGCCCGGGAGGGGGCTGCGTCCTCTAGGCCTGGTTCGGGGACAAGCGGCTCGGGTTTGCGAGCACCGTAGACTATGCTCACCCCAAGGCTCAATCCCCAGGCCGGGAGCCTCCCCTCGAGGGCCTCCAACTCGCGTATTCTGGGGGCGAAAATGGACCGCTGATCTGGTGGGCGGATGCTGCAGGAATGAGAGTGGAACTCGCTTTTGGATTTGTAGGCCAGCAACCTGAGGAAGCCACGCTTTTCACTCACCGGGTCACAGCTCTTTACAATTTACACAGTGCCCCGGCCGTGCCTCCCCGGGGGAATCAGGGGGCTTGGTCCAAGGGCCTAGTTTTATTTTCAAGTTGAAACACAAGACTGCGTGGCCCCAAGGTCAGGGACAACCCAGGTCTCTGCCATGGGTCTTTGGGAGGCCAGGAGGAAGCCCAGGGACCGGACAAGTTCTGGGGACCTGGCCCAGGATCTCTGGCCTTTGGCTTTGCCTTTGGCACCTTGCAGGGGAGACTGGTAGGCCCGGAAGCCAGCGACCTCTTTAGAACGGCATCTCCAGCTTCTTCTTTTTTTTTCCTTCTCTTTACAGGTTCTGCAGAAGCGCAAGGCACTTAAAGAAGCCGCAAACCACAGACTCCTCCGCCTGAGAGTCACAGGAGGACAAGCTCCATCCTAAGTAGTAACAAACGCAGCGAGGGTTCCTGGCTGTGCTGCTAAGGGTCGTTACCTTGGAGAAACCTTGCGTTCAACCGAGAAACTCCTAGTTAGAAAAAGAATTATAGTTGTCGCCAGATTGATTTAGTGATAAAAAATTCACCCTAATAGATAGATCCCTTGATTTCTCAAAATGCACTTTGGAGCCCTGCACACATTTGCGGCTTGGATACATCTAAGCTGTGTTTTAAAGTAAGAATTGGAGAGAATTCATTCAATTAGTCCCTTGGGGAAGATTACTGCTAATTAATTAATTGCAAACATTTCCAGAGGGAAGGTATGTCAATTGTAAAGTAATAAAATTAGATAGTTGAAATCCTTACTCAGCAACTTTGATTGCCCATTTGTTCCTAAGCAGATTTTTTTTTTTTTTTTAATGGCAGAAAAATGGGATGGTGGTGGAGAAAAAGCATTAGTTCTGTCCCCTGGCGATCTGGTTGCAAAGGAGAAACTACCACATAGAAGGTATTGATTTTTAGCTGATTTATAAGACCTCTGCGGTATCAATGCGTTCGCAGGGCCTCCAGGCCTTCCTCTCTTTGCTCTCTAGGATTAAAGAAAGCCAACAAGGTTTTTCAAAAGAAAAAGAAAGAAGAAGAAGAGTGGTGAAGTAAATTGGGAGGTAGGACTGTGAAGATGCCTCAGCCTTTTTTTTTTACGTAGAAAAAGAAAACCAGAAAAACAGGTTTGAGTGAAGATACCTTTCTACTGTCTTCAGAGTTGCTCTGTGGTATCAGGATGTCTTCCCCAATGGCGGGCTCCCATCTCCAAGCTCAAGAGGGCTTAATTTAACATTTCTTCCCCAGGGAGAGGTGGCACCCACAGCGAACCTCTTCTGGAACGCTGACACGTGATCCTCACCACCGTGAGCTGGGAGGGTTCTCTAAAAATGGTTCTTATAAAGAGCGCCTGTTCTTCATATAATTTTGGGACCCCCGTTTCGGACCCATAGCGAAACGAATTACTGGTTAAACCGATAGCAACCTCTATCTGGCAGAAACCTCAAGTGAAAAGAAGTTAGTTTCTTGGAAAGTCTGATCCAGGAGCGCTGCTGTGAATTTGCTCTCGGTCCTCCTGATTTGACAGGCACCCATTTCCGCAGCCGAGGGCTCTAAGCTTCTCCACCATGCTGATGTTTGTTGCATCGTTCAGTGCTGATTAATTTAGTGTCCGGGAACATGCCCAGTTATATGTGTGTACACAGAGAATTTATTGGCACAAGTAAATAAACCCATCAAATACAGACCCTCCCAGTTATATTTTAAGGAGTCATTTCACTTAAAGTATTTTAAACAACGGTACAGATTATCTTGTATTATATAGGTACTCCGTTATTTCCTCTAGCTGCTCATTAAAGCAAATATGAAACAAAGTAAATAGTCAAAGGCCTCTTTGGAGCAGAATGTACTAATCCACCTTGTTTATTTCCATGTTGCTTTGCTCTAAATGCACTGAGGCAGAGTAAAGGATGTGTCTTTCATAATAAACTTGAATGCAAGTACCAAACACACACAGGAAACCAAATCATGTTCCGTTATGTTGGGTTAAATATCTATCATTTCCTAATGGCCCATAAAGATAGCACATTTTACCTGGAAAAAGAGGGGAGCGGAATAACAACCTAGAAACGCCCCAAATCAACTTCGAATGCCTCCCAGAGAGAATGTGTAAGTATATGGAGACATAGATGAAAATATACTAAATTATATTTTTTAAGTACAGATTTTTTAGGGGCTGCTTTTGAACCGAGAAGAATAAGATTCCCTCCGATCTATGCATGAATGAACAAGTCCATCTGGACAGACGCATCTATAATTTATACTGACCAGTCACCGCAGGTCTCCCCGAGTAAAGCCGCAATGAACACTAATTGTTTTGACGGAAGTAGTGTGCATGGCACGTGACTGTGAAACGGAGCGAGCCCCTGCCCTGCCTGACTGCATTTTGTCAACAGCAACGATGCTGGCATCGGGAGGGGAACGTGAAAAGACAGTAATTCCCAGATGAGGGTGCTGATGTCGCTTGTCAGGAATGTGGTAAATAGAAGGAATGAACTTCTGGATAAAGGAATCAAATGAGACTGAAGGCCGAGATCTCAGGTACAAACCTGAGCATAGAGTTAAACACGATAGCTCGTTGATAACAAAATTCCTCTGCATTTAGTAGCATGCTATGGAGCTTTCCTAAACACCTCAGTTTTATCTTGTCGACCTCTTGCGATAAGGAAGTTGGAGAGATGAGAAGCAAAGCCAAGATCACGTACGTAACCCAGGAGATGACAGAAGGGACCAGAATTCAGACCTCCCGACTCTGGGTCTTGCCACAAGACGGTATTCTGAGCACACACACATCCAGATGCTGCCTGCCCAGGGGTGTTGCTAACTCTGGTTGGGCTGAGAGAGTTCACACGTAGCCCTAGTTGAAGCAGAGAAAATACATACAGCGATGCCAGTCTAAGCACCCAAGTTCAGGTCTCTGCTACATGTTTTTAGAGCAACCTGAATTATGAAAGAGCTTATGTAATAATTTGGGAGTTTTAGAAATTTGGTATGGATTATTAATTCAAACAGAAAACAGCAAGCAGACCTAGCTGTGACTAAATATATATTAAAACCAAAAGAACAACCAAAAAAAAAAAACCTCTAAAAAATCCAGCCAAGGTTAAGTCTACATATCTACTTTGGTTTAAAAAATAATGGAATTTAGTGACTTTTCAGGAAGAGAATTTTTTTTTTTTTTTTTTTTTTACTTTTTGTTTTTGCATCTGTAGACTGAGGAGTTTCAGAGGTTTAGTGCTCACTTTCAAAGTGGTTTTTATGTACCCAATTCTTGATTATTTTATCTTGGGGATGGTGGCCTTTTACTAATGATAAGCTCAAGGCATCTCATGTGTTTTCAAGGAATTAAATTAGAAAGTAAACAACAGATGTATGCATTTGAAAACCAGGAAACAGT